TGAGAAAGCCAGAAGAAACTGTTCATTTATTTAAGATAAGACTTTTTAGGCTAACAATTTTGTTTTGGGCTGGCAACTGCAACATAGGTTGTCTTGAAGGAAAATTGATGTGGTTTTATTTTGTTTTTTTTTGAGACAGAGTCTCAGTCTGTTGCCAGGCTGGAGTGCAGTGGCACAGTCTTGGCTTACTGAAACCTCTGCCTCCTGGGTTCAAGTGATTCTCCTGCCTCAGTCTCCCGAGTAGCTGAGACTACAGGTGTGTGCCACCACACCCAGCTAATTTTTTTTTTAAATTTTAGTAGAGATGGGGTTTCACCATGTTGGCCAGAATGGTCTTGATCTCTGGACCTTATGATCTGCTCGCCTTGGCCTCCCAAAGTGCTGGGATTACAGGTGTGAGCCACCGTGCCCAGCAGATGGAGTATTAATAATTATTTCCCAGACCAAATCACTCCACAAAGGTACAAACAAATTTAAGTTGTCTTGGTTTTGAGAAAACCAAGGACCCTTATTGCAAATTTTAAGGTAAACTGAAAAACTAATTTCAATATGAATGCAAGCAAAATGTTTCAGATCCTTTAACCACATTTGGATTGATCTCAAATGTTAGTGAACAATTTATTGTGGTTTTTAAACACACATTCAGTCATTTCATTCTTGGACAATTTGCAGTTTCCTGTAGCAAAACCAAGATAAAAGCAGTTGTTGGATTCTCCCCCTTGTTTGGCAAGAATTTCAAGGTAATTGCCTTAGGCTTCCGCTTTACTTTGCTGGTAGAAACTGGGGACTGGCTCTCGCAAGATTTCCCAGAATGTTATTGAGATGAAATCACTTTTATCTATTTCTGTTTGATTTAATGTCTGATAGAAGCAGTATGATCACCCAGACTTTACACTGGATTTACTTGGAATTGCTGAGCCTCTGCCACTATTCTAAGAAACTCACGACTCTTATAATAAAGTGAATTCCACATCCTTCACTCACAAGTGCTTGTTGGGTGCCTTCTGCATGTCAGGCACTGCACCAGGTGCCGGGGAGGCAGCAGTGTGAAAGACAGACATGCCTCTGTTCTGCAGCAGAATGAAGCTGAGCTCAGGCTTCATATGTTTTTCAATAACTAAACCATACTCCCTTGCTCCCCATGCATTCTCAATGGAGGTGAAATCACACAAGGGAAGGAAGTGAAAATTGATTCTTGGGAGGACAAAGCAATCTTAGACATTGCAATGGCTGCAACCTGCCAAAGCTCAATCCTACCTGAAAAAATATTATTCCTTAGTATTTAGTTTCTTTCATTGATGTCTACCTAGAGGATGCTAATGAAAGAAAGGGTTGAGAACAACATCCATCCTCTAAAATTCCACTAAGTTGATCTTCCTCAAGTGCATCATAACCCTGCTCAAAAATAATTCCTTAACTTCCTGCTGCTTTCTGAATCACATGCACACTCCTTACGTTTATATTCTTTTTCCAACCCGCATGTCCCACTCTCTCCATTACCTACTCCAGAGCCCTGCCATCCAGGCAAACCAGCTTCCAAATACGCCATGGCTCAACTCGAGCCCCCGCATGGCTTCCTCTGGGCCCTGAATGCCTTCTCCCCACTTCCTACTTGGCTTTGGACTATCCCCATTGGCCTTTGTGGAGGTAAGAGGGTGACTTTTCTCCACAGAACATTTTCTTCTGACTTCCTCATGCCACCTTGCTTGCCTGGTCTCATGTTCAAGTTGTTTGGTGGTTTTGAAACACTTTCTGCTACTTGGAAAACTCCTTAATTTTGTTCACTTTAGCATTTCCCATAATGCTTCAACACTTTTGTTTGGCATGTAATGGGGACTCTCACCAACTGTGTGTGGAATTAAACAGGAGAAAACCCTTACCTTTATTAGAAACAAGGTAACATCAACCAGACATTATAACTACATTAGAGAAAACAAAATGATATTTTGATAAACGATAAATGATAAAAAAGAGATGAATTAAAGAAATAAATAGTAAAGAATACAATAATATGATTAAAATTATGAGGAGGCTAAAATGATTTTAAGTTTAGTAACGTTATTGGAATCACTAACATTATGCTAAGCAAAAAAAATAAAAGAGGCCAGTTTCAAAAAGCTATGTTGTGACCCAGAAGTGTTGTGTTGTTAATTTTTTTTGGAATAGCAACTTTTCAACTTACCAGTTAATTATTAACTCTAATAGTTGCTATCATGTAAAAAAAAAAAACTCAGTATTTCTTGAAACTATGGGACTCTTAGCAAGCTAATTATGACTATGTAATTTTGAGGAGAGTCTATTTTAAGGAGGGTGAGCCCTCTTTTTCTTAACCCACACAGATGGAAAATATCCTAAGGCTAGTGGCAAAAGTTATAAAACATTTATTATAAAAACAAACTGTGACTTAATATTCTTAAGGTTTCAATATCCCCCAAATCAATCTATAGATTCAATGCAATTCCCAACAAAATCCCAAAAATATTTTTGCAGAAATTGAAAACTGATGCTAAAATTTATTTGGAATTGCAGGGAACCCAGAACAGCCAACATGGTCTTGAAAAAGAAGAAAACTGGAGGACTCCCACTTTCTGATTTCAAAACTTAGCACAAGCTGCAGTAATCAAGTGTGGTACTTCCGTAAGTGTAGGTGTATGGATCAATGGAGTAGAAGTGAGGGTTCAGAAATAAACCCTTACATTTATAGTAAATTGATTTTCAGCAACAGTGTCAAGACTATTCAATGGAGAGTCAAGAATAGTCATTTCCATAAGTAACAGTAGAACATGCAAAAGATTGAAGTTGAACCCCTACCTCACACAATACATAAAAATTAACTCAAAATAAACTATAGGCGTAAATATGAAAGCTAAAGCTATAAAACTCTTAGAAGAAAATACAGAAGTAAGGCTTTATGACTTTGTTAGTTATTTCTTTAATATCCTAAATTTGTGGTAATTTGTTATGGCAGCTACAGGAAGCTAATAAACTGTACAACCCAACGATGCTCCTCTATGTTTATCTCTAAGAGAACTGAAAATACGTCCACAAAAGCAAGCCAAATGTGATCTATCCACACAATGGAATGCTGTTCAGCCATAAAAGCAGATGAGGTACTGCTACATGCTGTGAGTTGGATGAGCCTGGAAAACACTATGCTAAGTGAAATAAGTCAGTCACAAGAGATCATGTATTGTATGATTGCATTCACATGAAATGTCCAGGAAGAGGCAAACCTATAGAGACAGAAACTGGATGAGTGATTGGCCCAGGTGGGAGTGGGATGGGAATGGGGGATGAGAAGTGACTGAAAGAGGATGTGGGCTTTCTTTTTACAACAATCGAATGTTCTCAACTTAGATTGTGGCAATGGTTGCACAACTCTGAGAATATACTAAAAATTACTGAATTGTATACATACTGTCAGTGGGTAAATTTATGGTAATAAATGATAAGAAAATGGTAAGAAAAGAAAGAAAGCATAAGGAGCAAGTAATAAAATTTTATTTTAGCTTCTGGCATGTATTTCATTTATAAACAGTGAGCAATTATGAGTCATAATTGCTTTAGATCTATCCTGCCTCAACATAGACAGCAAATCTCATAACCAGGAACAGTAGATTTCAAAATGAATCATTAACTTTGGTCTTTGATGCTGTGTTGTAAAAAATGTGACCTTGGAGGTTGATGGGTGAAGTTACTAATAACAGTTTCAAATCCTAACCCTTTTCCTAAGAGGAAATACTTGGCACCTAACAGGTTCCTCTCCTGATCTATTCTCGCTACTTACTTCATTGTGTAAGGATTCATGGAAACCATGTTCTCCTCTGTTCTTTGGGGTCTGCCTGACAGAAATTTCCTTCCCAATAGCTTTATTGTTTGTCAGTTTCCTTCAGTGTTTTGCTTTACTCTAAACAATTGAACGTGATAATTACAACTTTCTTACAATGATCTACCTTAAGATACGGCTTTTAGGAATGCTCTACTCTAAAAGTAGACTTGCGGTGGCTGAGGACAGGGCCAGAAGAGGGGAGTCACACACAAAGGCAGAGTCTCAGAGGGTACATGTAAAGAGAGACCACCTCCACCCCTCCCCAACAACACATGGGGCCAGGCTGGCCCGGGGCCAGGTTGGCCCGGATCTAGGGCCCAGCTGGAGTAGTTCTCAGAAGTCCTGTCAGATATGACTAGGGGATCATGGTGAAGTCACTGAGGTGGTTCAGGTCCATTTATGCACAGGATGCTTAGGTGGGACCATGTAGTATGGCAGAGCCCACCCCAGTCAACATCTAGGTCAATGAAGGGGACCCAGGAAGGGCTGGGCCTGTGTGGCTCTGTGCTAAACCGCAGTTGCTATAGGTTTCGGCTACTTTGTAGTCCAGCCTTGCAGCTGTCTCTTCAGGAGCATGTTCACTGGGGCTGACCCCTACCTCCCTGGACCTAGACAAATCCTCTCTGGCCAGAGTGACTGATTAGGCATGGACATCTGACCCAAGCAGGTAAAAGAAAACCCTGGCTGGAGCTTCATAGGAAAGGGACATCCCTATTCCTGGTGCTACAGGCCTGGAGCAAGAGTGATCTGAATAAATTATTTTAACCTTTTGGAATCTCTGTTTCTTCATCTATCTGTCTGTCTGTCTGTCTACCTACCTACCTACCTACCTACCTATAATGAGAGTAATAATGCAGCCTCCACAGAGCTAGCGTAGGATGAAATTAAATCATGTAAATCACAAAGCACAGAACCTTGAGCCCTAAGACTCACTCACCAATGACACCTATTTGGAAAGAGTATAGGGGGAGCCTTTAGCAGAAGGTAAAATAACTTGTCCAAGACACTGATGCAACCTTAAAGTTTCTCATCATAGAACTACCTTTCTGGCTCAATTTATACTTGCACTATGGCTGATTATGCTGTTACTTAGATAAGTGAATAATATAAATGCAGAACATTTGTGTCATTTCATTATGATTATTAATTACCCCATTTAAAAAGTACCTACCAGAATCTGTTGGTGTTGTTTTTCTACTTGATAGCCTCCAAAATGTATTATGCCAGGTTTTGCCTGTATGACCTTATTTTTTACAAGTTTTGCATAAACCTCTATAAAAACAATGTAGATAAGCACATCATGAGACATCAAAGAAAATATTAAATTACAGTTGATCCTTATTAACATAGCTTTCTTTGATTTAGGGCATTTGAAGCATATGAAAGTTGCAGATATTGGATCTAGCTGTCAACAAGATTAATTATCTGTTCTAAATAAACTGAACTCCTCCTCTATTTTTAAACATTACTTGGGAGATACTATCATTACAATACAAATTCAGGTAGACTGTCTGTTACCTACTAAAATAATTTGCTCTTCACACATTTTGTACACGTCTTTGTCATAAAATGTCAGCTCATAAAAAGCACATGGCCTGTCTTTGCTCTGCCTAGCACTGGATTATTTTACATAATGAATATGCAGCTCAAAGTATCCAAACACCAAACACTTAATTTTGTTACTGTGTATTTAACTTTTATTATTTGATTTCCTCTGACTATAATACATTGTGATGTAGAGTAATATTAAAACTTAAAGCTCTGAATAGTCATTACTCTGAACAGTAAGTCCCAAATTGCTTTTGGTGTAATGTCAACGTCCCTTTTAAACAGCTGAGCTTACAAAAGTGTCCAGGTCTACAAAAATTTTCCCAGCTCTTATTTAGGCAGGAGCAGACGTGTGGAGGAGGTACTGAGAACCCACTATATGGAAGTGCTTTGTGCCAGGAAGTGCTATGCATACATTTGTTTATAATCCTCACTCCAGCCCTATGACGTAGGTATTATTTCTACTTTACAGCTGAAGGATGTATGACTTAACAAGGTTAAGCAACTTGCCCACAGCTGGTAATCAAAAATCAAAGCCAGGCATGGTGGCTCACACCTGTAATCCCAGTATTTGGGGAGGCTGAGATAGGAGGATTGCTTAAGCCCAGGAGTTTGAGACCAGCCTGGGCAACAGAGTGAGACCATGTCTCCATAAAAAGTTTTAAAATTAGCTGGGTGTGGTGGTGCGTGCTTGCGTGCTTATGGTCTCAGCTACATGGGAGGCTGAGGTGCAAGGATCACTTGAGCCCAGGAGATGGAGGCTGCAGTGAGCTGTGATTGTACCACTGTTCCCCAGCCTGGACAACAGAACAATAGTCTGTCTCAAGAAAACAAAAAACAAACAAACGAAACAAAAATCAAGCCCAGGTCTGTCTGATTCCAACCAGTAATCTGCGTTCCTTATGAATGTACTGTTTACCTTCTTACAAATAACCTTTTGATTCTGACTGCATCCAAATATTGTGAGGCTCAAACCCCTCACCCCATCCCTTTGATCATTATGATTCTAGGATACATCTGAAGTGGGTGGGAAACATTTGGTGTTTTTTTCTTCTCACCAGGTGAGCTGTCACTGACATTAACTTGGACCAAACTGAACAGCTAGAATGGGTTAAGGTTGGCAGGGGAACTGATGATCTCTATAGGTTATTATTTTGTCATCTTTAAGCACTGAAATTACCATATTCTGTAATTTTTAAATTATTTATTTATTTGAGAGGGAGAGTCTCGCTCTATAGCCCAGGCTGGAGTAGCGTAATCTTGGCTCACTGCAACCTCAGCTTCCTGGGTTCAAGTGATTCTCCTGCCTCAGCCTCCCAAGTAGCTGAGATTACAGGTGCCTGCTACCACATCTGGCTAACTTTGGTATTTTAGTAGAGTTGGAGTTTCACCATGTTGGCTAGGCTGGTCTCAAACTCCTGATCTCAAATGATCCGACTGCTTTGGCCTCCCAAAATGCTGGGATTACAGGAATGAGCCACTGCACACAGCCTATTCTGTAATTTTTTTTTCAATGTTGAAAGATTTTATTTTAGAGCCACAAAGTAGATATAAAACTGTCATTTTTCTGCCAATGCTCAGAAATGGTCAAGTATACCAATTTTCACTTGACACATTCTACAGTGACAAGAGAACCATATCCAAATACAATATTATGTTCTCACATTTGAGATGTGCTTTGAAAGATGAGTGGAGGGCAACCAAGCATGTTGGTCAAGAGCTGGACCCAGGGCTCCGGTGGCTGAACACCAGCTCGCCACTTACTAGGTGTACCATGTTGGGGAAATCATGTGGTCTCTTTGAGTTTTACCTTCTCCAAGAGTAAAACGTAAATGTAAATAAAGAGCTGGGAAAATTCTTGTAGACCTGGACACTTTTGTGAAATCAGCCGTTTAAAAGGGACATTGACATTATACCAAAAGCAGTTTGAGACTTACCATTCAGAGTGATAACTCTTCAGAGCTTTAAGTTTTAATATTACTCTATATCACATTGTATTTCTAATTAGAGGAAATCAAATAATAAAAGTTAAATAAAGAGTAAGTATTAAGTAATACCTCATGATATACTGTTGTGTGGATTGAATGGGAAAAATGTACGCAAAATGATTACCCTTTTCCATAATAGCTATAGGATTTCCCAGCCACACGATACGTGCATGAAAAGGCAGAAAGGTCTAAAATGTGTGTGGTCCAAAGGACAGGAAGGAACCTCACGTAGCCAGAGCTAGAAATGAGTGGGGCATGGTGATGGGGATGGTGCTGGGTGGGCAGATTGAGATCAGACAGTGAAGGGGGTCAAGCAAAGGCATTGTGACTTTATTCTGTATGCAAAGGGGACTGTTGGGAGTTTGAGCAGATTAGGGATAAGAGCCAGCCAGGATTTAGGAAAGCAAACTGACAGGAGGAGAATGTGGCTGGGGAGGAGTCCCAGTGGCCTGCTGAACAGGAGAAACAAGACAGGGGTAGCAGACAGGAAAGACATTAGAGGAAGTAGAAGCAACAGAAATTGATGAATTTACATACCTCACAAAAATCTACCAGTTAAGCAGATGGATCTAAACAGAACTACTATTCTTAGTAGTAAAAATTAGTATAAGCCTATAAAATGAGATAGCTAAATCAGCTCTAAAAATTCTATTACACTTTCTGGACTTTGGCTCGCCTGGGAAGATGTGAGTTGTAAAGCAAATCTGTCTTCTAGACTCTTACTTGATTCTAGGAGGTGATTAGGTACTTCTCTTCTCTTCTTGGGCTCCTCCACTAGGTTCTTCAAGAGGTGGGGCGATGCATTATTAAAGGGTTCTTTAGCATTTTTCAGTCCTCTGCTGGGGGTTTTCACCACTGCCATTTTATCATGAAAAATGGAATCTTCTTTTTAGAGCCAAAGGTGATGTCCTGGGGAGGAAACAGCAGCAGTATAATCATCCATGAGAAACTATGCACATTTTTTTCTCTTTCTTTGATAAATGTACCTCATCTCTGTGTGCTTTACTGTGGCTCATGCCCTCCCTGCCTCTCCTCTCACACCATTCCCACACATGGCTGCCCCATTAATCTTCTTACATAACGCATCATAACCCAATGTCGTGCCACTACTCCAAACCCTTTTGTGGTCCTTGAGTCTCCCCAAGAGCTCTTACTGAAATGTACGTCTGAGATGCTTCTTGAGCTTATTGCAGGGGCTCGAGAAGGGAAAAATAAAGGCTCTCAGTCAAACAAGTCTGGAAAATATTGATGTAAACATAAAATAAGACTCTTCTTTCAGAGATTTCTCCAAATGAGTTTCTTAGAATATGTGACTATGGAAGCCTTTAACACGTGGAGGCACTGATGACACAACATCGGCATTTCAGAGTCACCTTCCTCCATCCGATGAGGAGGTGGTGAAGCCTAAGGCAGTCCAGTCACGTAGACATGGGGACATTCCAGGAGCTCTGTGAATCTCAGTTCATGCTGAACCCTGTGTCCGCACCTGCCTTCCATTAACACACTCATCTTAAGTTCCACTTTCTTCATGAAGTTGATAAAGAATGTTTATCAACTTCCCAACACATAAAGAATGTTAATTCTTTGGCAATCACTGCTTCTACTACTCATCTGGTGTTAATAATTTATTGCCCTGTAACAACATTTTACATCTCACATTCCTTTATATATTCCACAACTAAATCTCTTAACTTGGGGACCTTGTGCAGGCCATGGGGCTGGTCGGTGAAGCCCCTGAAAAGTAATGTTAAATAGTGTGGATCTTTGTGTGTTTTTTTAGCCCACAGCTTTAGACTCCAGAGAAGACAACATCTAGCAGCATGCAGTGAGTCTAGGGAAGGAGGCTCTTAACAATCACTTTCAGAAAGAAGTTTTCCCCTCCCCTCCCCTCGCACCACTTTTCCTAGCATCTCTGAAGGCTGCAGGGCCCCTCCTCACCTGCTTCCCTTTCCTCCATCCCTTAACGCCCGCCCCAGACTCACCCTGCAGCCCAGTTCCTCCCGAAGCCTCACATCCCCTGTGCTTCAGGCAGGCTCAGGAGCAAGGCCGTCTTCAAGCCAGCTCGCCCACCGCCCGGGAAGCCTGGCTCCGGGTCGCACCCCCGCACCCTCGTCCCCATCCTCTACCCCGCAGGCCCTCTCACCCCAGCCAAGGACCTCCTCCCCTCGGCGACCTTTCACTCCACGCCTGCTGAGTCCCGCGCACCGCCCCCTATCCTTCTGTCACCCTCTGGGCCAGACCTCTCCTCGGACCCCGGCCGCGGCCCACTTGCGGCTGGACATCGTGCGGGGCTCGGCCGCCTCAGGAGCTCGGCGGCGGCGCCCCGGCGGCCGACCCTGAGCCACCCGGCCCCAGGTCCCGGGCCGCTCACCCTGGACGTGGTTCCCGGGCCGGATTCGCCAAGCGCCCAAGGCCGCTCAGCGCGTCGCCAGGGCGACGCGGACGCGCTCAGGGCTGGCGGCCGGGCGCGACCAAACGCCCCAGGGCGGGGGAGCCGGGCGGCTGCGGGCCAGGACCAGAGGCGGCGGGTGACTCCTGGGAGGTCCGAGCAGTTTGCCGGGTCTGGCGAAGAATCAACAGCGCGACTTATGGCTTGGGGGGCGAATGGATTCCCGAGGGGACGTGAGAAAGTTGGAAACACCACACACTGGAACCCTGCAAGAGCGCAGCGCGGGAGCGAGGACGGACGGGGCGGGGCTGCCCGAGCGAGTGGGCGGGGCTTCGCCTGACAGGTATCACTTAAGACGCCCAATTTCTTTTTTTTTTTGAGACGTAGTTTCGCTCTTGCTACCCAGGCTGGAGTGCAATGGCGCGATCTCGGCTCACCGCAACCTCGGCCTCCTGGGTTCAGGCAATTCTCCTGGCTCAGCCTCCCGAGTAGCTGGGACTACAGGCACGCGCCACCATGCCCAGCTAATTTTTTGTATTTTTAGTAGAGACGGGGTTTCACCATGTTGACCAGGATGGTCTCGATATCTTGACCTCGTGATCCACCCGCCTCGGCCTCCCAAAGTACTGGGATTACAGGCTTGAGCCACCGCGCCCGGCCGACGCCCAATTTCTTGTAGTTTGTTTTACATTTTCTGTTACAGTAAATTTCAGACATACACAAAGGCTGACCTAATGGTAAAATAGACCTCCAACACCCAGCTGCAACGATGATCAAATCCTGGCCAATCCTGTTTCATTCGTATCTTTCCCTGACTCGTATTATTTTGAAGCACATCCCAGATATCGTTTCATCCATACGTATTTCAAAATATACCTCCAAAAGATAGGGATTCTTTAAAAAACATAACCACAATACCTTAAAAATTATAATTTATTAACATCTTCAAATATCCAGTACTCAATTGTCTCATGTCGTATTTATTTTTAGAGTTTGCCAGTTTGAATCAATTCAAATGCAATTTACCCATTGGAATAGATTAATGTATCTTCTTTTTTGAGCCAGAGTTTCGCTCTTGTTACCCAGGCTGAGTGCAATGGCGCGATCTCGGCTCACCACAAACTCTGCCTCTTGGGTTCAGGCAATTCTTCTGCCTCAGCCTCCTGAGTATCTGGGATTACAGGCACGCGCCACCATGCCCAGCTAATTTTTTGTATTTTTAGTAGAGACGGGGTTTCACCATGTTGACCAGGATGGTCTCGATCTCTTGACCTCGTGATCCACCCGCCTCGGTCTCCTAAAGTGCTGGGGTTACAGGCGTGAGCCACTGGGCCCAGCCAAACTGCAGAATTCTTAGGGGAGGGAACTGTACTTTGTCTTAGGATCTTCCCAAGTTCTTTTTAAGTTTTTTTATTTTTATTGCATTTTAGGTCTTGGGGTACATGTGAAGAACATGCAAGACAGTTGCAAAGGTACACACGTGGCAGTGTGATTTGCTGCCTTCCTCCCCTTCACCTATATCTGGCATTTCTCCCTGTGCTATCTCTCCCCAACTCCCCACTCCCCCACTGTCCCTTCCCATTCCCCCCAACAGACCCCAGTGTGTAGTACTCCCCTCCCTGTGTCCATGTGTTCTCATTATTCAACACCCACCTATGAGTGAGAACATGCGGTATTTCATTTTCTGTTCTTGTGTCAGTTTGCTGAGAATGATGGTCTCCAGGTTCTTCCATGTCCCTACAAAGGACACGAACTCATCGTTTTTGATTGCTGCATAATATTCCATGGTGTATATGTGCCACATTTTCCCCATCCAGTCTATCATTGATGGGCATTTGGGTTGGTTCCAGGTCTTTGCTATTGTAAACAGTGCTGCAATGAACATTTGTGTGCATGTGTCCTTATAGTAGAACAATTTATAGTCCTTTGGATATATACCCAGTAATGGGATTGCTGGGTCAAATGGAATTTCTATTTCTAAGGCCTTGAGGAATCACCACACTGTCTTCCGCAATGGTTGAACTAATTTACACTCCCACCAGCAGTGTAAAAGTGTTCCTATTTCTCTACATCCTCTCCAGCATCTGTTGTCTCCAGATTTTTTAATGATCGCCATTCTAACTGGCCTGAGATGGTATCTCAATATAGTTTAGATTTGCATCTCTCTAATGACCAGTGATGATGAGCATTTTTTTCATATGTTTCTTGGCCTCATGTATGTCTTCTTTTGTAAAGTGTCTCTTCAAAAGTGGGCAAAGGATATGAACAGACACTTTTTTTTTTTTTTAATTTAAGATGGAGTTATGCTCCTGTTGTCCAGGCTGGAGTTCAGTGGCGAAATCTCGGCTCACTGCAACCTCTGCCTCCTGGGTTCAAGCAATTCTCCTGCCTCAGCCTCCCAAGTTGCTATAAATTTTTTGTTTTTTAGTAGAGACGGGGTTTTGCCATGTTGGCCAAGCTGGTCTCAAACTCCTGACCTCAGGTGATCCACCCGCCTCTACCTCCCCAAAATGCTGGGATTACGGGCGTGAGCCACTGTGCCCGGCCACCTTGACACAATTCTTTGTCCATATTGATTGCTCAGTAACTGTTGGCCAAGGGGTGAAGCAATTCATTTGTTTATAGAGTAGGTTGCTTTAGTTCTTTCTGTTTTGTTGCCCCAAAGCTACAGATTTCAGAATAGGTACTATCTTTCCCACAGTCCCAGACCTCTCCATCCAGTGCAAATCATGAGGTATTTGTTTTCATATACTTCTTTTTATTTTTTATACAGACGGGAATCTTGCTGTGTTACCACAGCTGGGTTTGAACTCCTGGCCTCAAGCAATTTTCCTGCCTTAGACTCCATATGCTTCTTAATAGACATTGGGTAACACTTTTTAATTTGTACTTAATTTTTTTTAAGAAAAATCCCCAAATTTCCTATTGTATATAGATAACCCATAGGTATCTATATAAGCAGTTAACCAAATTGAGTATTATAGTGTAGTGGACACTACTGGTTGCCTACTTCCACTTGTTTTCTAATGGAACCACAGCTTTACTCGAATTTCTCCCCAGTTCCCAGTTCTAACAGCAGACCCTGATTAATCTAGGCCAGGCCAGACGTTGTGGCTCATGCCTGTAATCCCCAGCACTTTGGGATGCTGAGGCAGAGGATCTCTTGAGCCTAGGAGTTTGAGACAAGACAGGGTAACATAGTGAAACCTCATCTCTACATAAAAATTTAAAAAATTAGCTCGATGTGGTGGCTCACACCTGTAATTTCAGCTACAGAGGAGGCTGAGGTGGGAGGATTGCTTGAGCACAGGAGTTGGAAGCTGCAGTGAGCTATGATGATGCCACCACACTCTAGCCTGGGTGACAGAGAGAGACCCTGTCTCAAAACAAAACAAAACAAAGCAAAGCAATCCAGGCCAATCATGGAATTCCCAATCCCCTTGCCCACATTGCCCATGACTTAGTTAGGACTGGGCATGTAGCCCCATTCTGGATAGGGACAGGAAAATGTTTCTGGGGACCTCTGGAAAAGACTTTCTTTCTCCTAAGAAAGACACACATAGATTCAGTAGCTTTCTCCTTCTGGACTTCTTAGTGTCAGGAAGTGATTCTGCCATCAGAGGCCATGAGGAGTCTGAGTGTTAAAGAGGTGACAAGGACAGGAAAACAAGGAGACAGAAAGACCCTGGGCCTGGATAATATCATTTCACTTCTAGTTGTTTGGTCTTTGCCTTCCATTTTCTCTTTCTTCCAACTGAAAATATCTGACATATAATGACTTCTGGACACTTACTTCTCAAGGTGTAAACTGTGGCACAGGCGCTTGTCAGGAATGCAGAGTTTTGGGCTATACCAGACCTTGTTCAGGCTACTCAACCAAAACCTGCATTTTAATAAGATGCCCCAGGGGATTCATAGGCACATTAAAGTTTGAGAATCATTAAACTGATGGAGCCCTACAGTTATAGCTGTTTCAGATAATTAATTATTAATCCATTTATTTATGTGGTCTACACTTATTTCACTTAGAGTTCACAATAGCAGAACACAAAGGTGTCCCAGCATCTGCCAAATGAGTGCAATGAGACAAGTGTGATAATGGCATGGAAGCATTAAGCTTCAATAGTACAGGGGGAGCCATTCATTTCCTTGCTTAAAACTCCTTGGTGGCTTCAAATTGTACAGAAAATAAAATTTAACAGCCTTAACACTTTTTTCCCCCCACAGAAACAGTCTTGCTCTGTTGCCCAGGTTGGAGTGCAGTGGTGCCATCATAGCTCACTGAAACCTTGAACTCCTGGCTCAAGTGAGCCTCCCAGAATAGCTAGGACTATAGGTGCATGACACCATGCCTGGCTAATTTTTAAAAAACTTTTTGTATAGACAAGGTCTCACTATGTTGCCCAGGCTGGTTTTGAACTCCTGGACTCAAGTTATCCTCCTGCCTTAATTTCCGAATATGCTGGGATTATAAGTGCAAGCCATAGTGGCTGGCAAAAAAAATCCTTAACACTCTTTTAGAGCTTTGCAGGACCTGGCTGCTGGCCCCTTACCCCACCTCCTCCTTCCCCTGCTTTATTTTGTTCCCCCACCTCCCCTTTGCCTGGTTTAGAGAGTGAAAGCTGGCTGCAAATTCTTTGATGCTGCTCCCATGAAGAGGCAGGATCCCTGTCCCCTCCCCTTGAGTCTGGTGGGTCTGTGACTGCTTTAACTGCCCAGTGGAGTCCTACCTGAATTCTTGACACCAGAATTTGTGAAGATATAATAAAATGATGTTGTTTCATGCCTTTGAGTTTTGGAGTAGTAGGTTATTCTGTAGCAACAAAATAACCCAAAACTTGGGCTGATTTCTACTAAGGGTTTCTTCCTCAGGGGGGCTTTTCCTGGGTTTCTTTCTGTGTCAGGTCCTGCACCTTGGTACTATCTCCCAGTACTGTGTTCTTTCCCTTCATAGCTGTCTTAGTCTATTATGGCTGCTGTAGCAAAATATCTTAGACTGGGTTTCTTACAAACAG